ATATGATTGTTACTCATTTGTTTTATTTCAAAATTTGTCTTAAAACCGAAACAATTTTTAACTTAACTGTACCTTTTTTAGAAAAAAAATATAGGTGTGTCCAGTTGACGATAACATAAAAGTAATTAATTTTAATTTTCACTATGTGGACATACATAAAAACCTTGGCGTGTCCAAATGACGAAAGAATAATTAGTGCTAATTTAAAGTTTCACCAACTGGACACACGTGTGATCAGTTCCTCGTGTCGAGTTGGTGAAAAACCCGCTACGCCACTGATTTCGTGACTTAATTTTGGCACAAATATGCACCGTTTTGAAGTGAACTGTATTTAAATTGCTATTCAACAGCCATTTGCTAATTACTGAAATGTTTTGTAAAAGATATTTTTAAAAACAACGTCCAAAAAACAATAAAGTTGTTTTCGCCTGAAAAGGTAAACAGAATAATTAGGTACGTAGTCTGTTTTTGTGTGGCAATTTCTCACGGAGTCTTACAGTTGCTTGGGGTTAATCTTATCTTATATATCTTATCTTATATATCTTATCTTATGTTATCTTATCTTATATTATCTTATCTTATCTTATATTATATAAAGCGGAAGAGTTTGTTTTTTTGTTTGTTTCTTTGTTTGTTTAAACGCGCTAATCTCCGTAACTACAAGTCTGATTTGAATAATTCTTTTTGTGTTGGATAGCGCATTTATCAAGGATAGCTATAGGCTATAAAACATCACGCTACGACAAATAGGAGCTGAGCAGAGCGTGTGAAACCGCGCGGAAGTAGCTAGTCTAATCTATAAGACTCTTACAGACTGACAAAAAACCATCATCAATCATCAACAGCCTATAAATGCCCACTGCTGAGCAAAGCCTCTTTTCACACGGAGAAGGTTTGAGCATTAATCACCACGCTTGCTCAATGCGGGTTGGTGATTACAAACTTATAATTAGAAATTATAAGCCCAGGTTTCCTCACGATGTTTTCCTTCACCGTTTGTCAGCGGTGTCTAAATAATCTTAGAAAGTACATATAACTTGGAAAAAATAACATTGGTACCTATTTGTCGTTGGTCTTGGTAGGTTTGGAACCCGCACCCTCATCTTCTTAAACCTCCGGGCCACCACGACATACAAGAGACAGACACGAGAAACATTTTATTCTCCTATAGCACAAAATATTTTACATTCACACGGCTGACACGCAGTGTGTCGCGGGTTCGATTCCCGCACCGCACGGAGCAACTCGTTATGTGATCCACATAATGTTGTCCCGGGTCTGGGTGTCATGTGTATGTGAACTTGTATGTTTGTGAACGTACCCACGACACAGGAGAAAATCGTAGTGTAAGGCAACGTTTTTTTTAAAAAAAAAACATTAGTCTACGACCCGAAATAATAAATGATAATTAATGGGTTACACAAAGAGATATTCTGTACGTGAATCGAAGTCGCGATACGTTGCATAGCAGGCGATTGCCGAGCCAATACACTACCCGCGCAGTCATAATAAATTTGTAGATAGCATAAATTGGTAAGAAGAATCTTTAGGTAGGAACTATGAAACTTCGAATTAATGAATCTGAGTTATCGCATATTAGACTTTAGACATTCAAAGCTCTTCGGGGAAAATCGGCGACGAATACTACGATGATGTTAGTATCATAATTAGACATTCTCAAGTCGCGACATTCTTTCATATTGACGTGTTATCCTGGCAATTAAATGAAATAACACAAGAAATGAACAACTCTCTCGAGTGAAGATTGGGGATTGGTAGGCACGCCATTTTACTGCCACACTCGTAAAACTAATCAAGTAGCTGATGAAATGATTATTTATAAATAAAAATGTCTTCTGTACAAATAGAACTAGAAACCTATTCACTGCATGGATAGCGCAGTGTTTGATATAGCCACTCACTTCGTTATTTAAGTTCAAATTATTATTTGCATTATGATGCATAAATGAGAAAGAAAGAAATAAACGTTTATTCCACACGTAAAAGAGTGTGTGCAAGACAGGGCCTAGCGCTAGTATTCAACTGGCCCCATAAGTTACTCTTTAATGCATCTTTTTTTGAATCATTCAATGACTTCTCCCGCCCGGGTGAGGAGAGGGAGTGTTAAACTCTTATTTACTAAAAACACCCCGTTCCTACTCCTGCACTTCGAAGAGGCAACACATTAAGCCCTCCGCGGACTCTTTAATGCACTTGCAGCGGCTATTACCTAACTGATAATCTTTAATCTGTATCAAGTAATATCAACCAATATCAACCTATCAATGTACAAACGATATACTTTCTAAATACTTATGTACTATTCCAATTTTCAAAATAAATCTTATCATTTTTAAGAAATCCAGTTAGTACCTAACAATAATTCAAATACACAGCTACGCGTGTATATGTATATGTAGTTACGTTTCTACGCGAATCTCCATAGCTTCGTCGATGTATTTCATCGACCAGCTGACAACCTTATCAAAGCTGCAACACACCGAATGTTCTTAATATAAAACTGAATACGTTTTGCACTCGCAGTGCTATTACGAAACAATGCAAAACACATTGTGCGGGTTATGTACCTGTTATCTAATCATTGTATAAAAAAATGTTTTTGTTGACTGTTTGGGGAATTCCAAAAAAGTTATAGGTAGGTACTGCGAAGACGATCGTCGTATGGTAAGGTAAGCGGAGGCTCAATTACTCTCCAATCTCCCCAATTCTCGAATCTCCAACAAACCTCTAATTCCTAATCTCCAAATAGCCGGTAACGCATTTGTAATACCTCTGGTGTTTCGAGTGTCCATGGGTGACGCCGATTGCTTACCATCAGGTGCTCCGTGTACTCGTTTGCCGGTGTATTCCATAAAAAGACAATAACTACTACTTTAAAAAAACTGGTGTCCATAGACTGTTGCTGGTGATCTACCTACTCCTGCACCTGTTCCAGTGGAATATAGTGCCCAAAAATTCAAGACCTTCATTCACCCAAGGTGCGTAATTAATTACGCACTTTAAGATCATTTCAATAAATGCCACGTTTATTTTTCTTGGAACTTTAGATAGATAATAACTCTACCATCCATTACATGCCCCACTGAATGGTTTTGATAAACTGGCGAAACGGGCACCAGCCTACAGAGTACAGCTAGTTTCTATAACAAATTTAAATGCTCTAGCCTAGTCTTCATAAAATCTTCGACAGTAATACCTAAAACTAGACTATCCTGGCAATGATGACCGCCGCATTTCGGTCGCAATTATTTTTATTTTATTTTAGAAACTGCTATCATTTTTGTCGGCTACCGGCTGCCTGGAATTATTCCAAAGAATTCTGCCGGGTTCAAAACACTTTATATTCATGGCGTGCGGTGCGAAACGCAAAAAATATTGAATGCAATGACCGATGATGACGTTATTACTAAGTTTAGGTTGTTGTTTGTTTATCTCCTGTCATTACCACACGTTACCTAACAAGTAGATCGAAATCTGATTATATTTCAAACTCTCCAAAATGGTTGCTTTTTTATGGGGTATCTAGACCGGCCAGCAAATGAGTAGACGGATCACCTGATGGTAAGCAATCGGTGGCAGTTATGTCCACCCGAAACACCAGAGGAGTTATAAATTACAAGTGTGTTACCGGCCTTTTGGGGGTATTGAGGAGACAGGGGTAGGTGGAGTGGGGCCTCCAGTTATGCACGATTATGGGGGATTTACACGGATCGATTTTTATGGACCAAAATCGTCTTATCAAGTTACATCGCTTGCCCATATTTACCTAGATGACTAAATCACCTTCGCCTGATGCATCTCAGTCATTCCCTTCCCTCGAACCATCCTCTAAAAAAACACCTTTTAAGTTTTAAAAAGTAGGTATTTTTGGTAAAAGTAGGATGCGAAAAGACCTCACCCATCGACATAGACACCAGACCAGTGGATAGCTGGTGGTATCTAGATCAGTTCATTTCAGATTTTCATAGTACCTACATGTAGTTAAAGTGCAAATTTGTTTGTTAAAAAATAAATTAAATCTAAGAAAACGATTTACTGGACATGGACAGAGTGCGGAACGAGCTGATACTCGCCTCCTCAGTTCGTGGTGATACTCGTATTACAATTGACTGTAGAGAATGAAAACAAAGAAACGTTGCGCCACCTCGAGCACCAAATATTTAACTAAAATAAAAAAATCACGGATAAAAGAATTTGCAAGGCGTGCAGGTGATTAAATTCTCATTAGGTATTTTAAAAATACCTAAAATTCTAGCAGAAATTGAAAACAATGCTTAATTTTACAACATCAGAATTAAACATCCATCACGATTATTTTTTAATGGTTTAAAATTCTAGTGAGTGTATGTCTATTCATGAAATATTCTTGCGCCTGATATTTTAAATTATCAGCAAATTGCATAAGTGAACTTTGCAATTAAAACGTGTGTAGGAACTAGACTAGATTAACATAAGTTCATTAAAAATACGCAAAAACATTACTTAAATCCATTCGTTATCGTTAAGTTAATGTTTACTAGCCAATGGTGATAAGATAATAGTATTGTATTTCTCTGTTCTAGACAAAGTGCCTCATAAGCGGCTCAGTCGAAAGGTACTGTAATTTTATGTTCTTCAGGTTCAGTATATTGTTCTTAAATAACTTTTAAATTTTGCTAAGCTAAAATAACTTTCTAATATTTCATAAATTGTAAGATAACATTCCAATACTTCGTGCATAGGGTGAGTTTTGAAAATAGTTTTCGTCTAGAAATCACTAGAATCGTCTATGCGAATTTTTATTCATTTGCAAAATACGTCACACGGCAAGGATGAGTCAATGTCAACTCAAATTGACGTTTAATTTGACAGTTCTCTGAAGTTGTGAACAGGTTGTTTTGCTGTGGAAAAGGTGTAAAATTAATAAGGTTTATAAGGCGATAATAGCCTGTTCTTTATGCGTATAATGTGATAATATATCTCTAGTGAAACTGTATTTGATGGGAGAGCGACAACGTACAGCAGGACCAGAAGAAATGGCTACTACCAGCACCGCTGTCGCGACCGTCCCCCCGCAGACTCAGGAGGTAATCCCGACCACTGTTGTGATGTTCCTTATCTTTTCTATTTGATCATTTAATACTGCGATACTGATATCTGTAACATTTTATTCATTTCGAATCTTATTGTTTTTACGGCAGTATGGAAAAATTGAGAAAATTTTGCGTGTGCGTTTTACGCACGCAATATACGTATTCTAAACATGAATACTCGACGAAATCGGGTTTATTGAAGGATATAAACGTGTTAGATCTGAGTAGAGTGATCGCGGGACCATTTTGTTCCATGACCCTCGGGGACTTGGGCGCTAATATCATAAAAGTGGAAAGTTTGGACGGAGATGAAGCGCGTAAATGGGGTCCGCCGTTTATCAAAGACAGTAAAGACTCTTTTTATTTTCTCTCAGTGAACAGAAATAAAAAAAGTATTTGCATAGATTTCAAGAGCCAAGAAGGTAAGTTTTGTTTCATTTTACTTATTTTCGTTGTTGAGTTTGCCTCTATTATTAGTCTTATATCTCAAAAATTCTCACTGGAACATTCTGTTATAACAAGGTTTCATTCCTGACTATCATAGTCAGGAATGAAATCATCTGATTTATCACCATATTGATTAGATCTAATTGTATCATCATGCAAGCGGCAAACCATTCAGCAAAACACAGTATACCTAATTGCTTTAAAAAAAACACACACACAATGGTGATTATACCACAAATATTTCTTAAAAGAACATATTTTTACCGGGTCACAGAAAGTTGGCCGAAATATCAGCTAAAATTGTCAATTCAGTTAAAGTGTACCTACAGGTACACTCAGCGTGGCAACAATTTTTCAAATATATTTTCAAGTTCATCTTAGATAGTAAAATGTAAACAGACAGTTATCAAAGATAAAGAGTTCTCCAATACACATATCATAACATTCAAAATGCTCAAATTGTTAAGAATTACATGCAGTACAATGTATGTGCATAGAAACATGTAACACGAACAATATTTTAAAAAATCTATTGATTTTCATGCCCCTATGAATTTTCTCTGACCATCATACTTTGCTCTTCATTCTAGATAAAAATTCATCTGTTAAATAGAAAAATGACGTAACTAATTCAGAAAATACAAACTTTACAGTATAAGTGTTTGAATTTTTTTATTTCATTATTTTTTTTTATCCCAGTTACAGTTGCGATATCTAGTGAACTTGGTGTGAACTATTTAAAGTGCCATTTTTACAAATAATATCTTGTTAGTAGACTCTTCTTCTTCTTCTTATAGTGCCTCTTCAATGTTGAAGGTCGGCCGTCAGCTTCTTGTATTTCTCCTTGTCGGTAGCCATGCGGAACAATTGTTAGTAGACTCGTTTTATGTAATAATGTTGTTTTCCAAATTATTTGAAAAATGCCATTTTCCTATTTAATAGATGAATTTTTACCTAGTTGAAGCACCAATTCTACATTACAATTAACAAATTTTCACCTAAATAATAACTGGATATTCAAAAAACTCAAAAAAAAACAAAAAATGTTTATTTCGTTATTACACGTTAATACAAAGTTACACAGTTGGAGGCGTCCCCTTTTAAGCATATAAATGCCTGTACCAGGAGGCGCCGCTCCTTTATATCATACAAGTGTAATACTATTGATATTGACTGCTAATATTTACTAACTCTATTAGTTGTTGTCATGTGTTTCTGTTTTACCATGAAATTAATAGTTCATGTAAATATTCAGCTTCAGGAACAGAGCAGCTAACCTCTTTGAAGTTCGACTTTTTCACTGAGTGAGCACACTATTATTAAGTGTAAAAGAGACAACAATATGTTTGTTTAAATTTTAGAATTTTGTTTTCAATGGTCACACTTTGATGATAATTAAATGTTTGTCAATTATAATGTTTTTGATGTGACTGCTGATAATTCGCATTTCACGACTTTACGACATCAAGCATAGTACTTTATCTCTATCTTATTTATCTCTCTTGGATCATTTTACCACCATTTAACCAAGATTGATTGTTGGTTGATGTCTAAACATAATCATAACTAAACTATATGCACATGGAAATTACACAACTACCTAATCAACATACCATCCTATAAATCATTTTAATACAACACAATAAAGTTGAAAATACATAAGCAATCTTTGTTAAAACCACTGATACTAAATATTTCAATTTCAGGCAAAAAAGTCATATATGACTTGGCTAGGAAATGTGATGTTTTGGTAGAAAACTTTGTTCCTGGCAAGCTAGACCAGCTGGAGATTGGCTATGATAAACTGAAGGTCATTAACCCCAAGCTTATATACTGTGCTATCACTGGGTTTGGACCCACCGGACCGTATGCTAAGAAACCTGGGTGAGTAGAAACCAAAAAACCACTGATTCTAACTGTGAACTGGTGACCGCTCTCCACTTACTCTAATATAGACCTTATTTCTGATATTCAGAGACTACTTTTGTGTGAACAAATCCTGTGAATTTTTCTTAATTGGGGTTTAATAAGTTTAAATAGGTGGTAGTATGAGGAATCCTTGTATTAATTCTTTGCATTTCATCAAAACAATACATACTAAGTTGGATTAGGTATAATATAATCTTATCCAACTTTAGGACCAGTCATAAATCGAATGGCTAATCCTTATCTGCGATTTTATTAAATGCAGTAAATTATAACAATATTATCTACCTACATAAATTACCAAAGACTTCATTCACATATTGCAGGTATGATGTAATAGCAGCCGCTATGGGTGGCCTGCTAAACACGACTGGAGAACCTGATGGAGATCCCTGCAAGGCAGGCGTCGCTATCACAGACATCACTACAGGACTTCACGCCTTCGGAGCCATCATGACAGCTCTGTACTACAGAGAAAAAACAGGAAAAGGACAGAGAATTGACTGCAATCTCCTTTCAACACAAATATCCAGTATGATCAACATAGCGACTATTTACTTGAACTGTGGCATCGAAGGCCAAAGATGGGGCACAGCACATGCTAACCTTGTACCTTACCAAGCTTTCAAATCTAAAGATGGCTACATGGTCATCGGGACAGGATCAAACCCACAGTTTGCTGATCTCTGCAGGATTTTAGGCAAGGAGGAACTGATAACTGATGAGAGGTTCAAGGATAACTCAAAGAGGGTTGAAAATAGGAAGGAAATCATCAGAATTATTAGTGAAGTTATACAGACAAAGACTAATAAGGAATGGTCAGAGATTTTCAAGAATGCCTCGTTCCCATGCGGTCCTATTAATAAGATGAAGGATGTGTTTGAAGATGAACATGTTAAAGCTATAGAGTTGGTGAAGGAGCTGCCTCATCCTGACGCTGGTACCGTGAAGGTTGTAGGACCCCCAACAGTGTACGGGTTAGGGGGTAACAATGCGAGGTTGGCACCCCCAAGGTTGGGCCAACATACTCGAGATATTTTGGCCAACTTTCTAGGGTATCATGATAAGAAAATTGAAGGATTGTTGGATAATAAGGTTGTGCAGTAGTAGTTTTTAATGATGAACGTACAAGTACGAAATATATTTGAATTATTTTAATATTCAGGTTTGGTAAACTAAGCTAATCTTTAAGGTTTAAGTTATTTTGAGTAATTCTCGAATATTTACTGGACATCGATTTTATTAAATATTCTTAGAATACTATACTACAGGGTGTTTGACATGAACCAGTTTAATTATTATTTTAAGTAAAATAATTATATATATAATCTAATAATCATAATTTAATTTATAGTATGGAAAGTGAATAGAGAATATTAATTCCTATTTTGTACTCACATGTACAATATATCTACTTAGAGTTAGTATTATAATATCAAAATTAATTATACATAGGTCTAAAGTTGACAAATAAAAACTAATTCTACATGATGTTTGTGTTTATTTGCCCCTTTCCTAAACTAGTATTTATTAAAATAAAAACCTATGTTATAACAGTCTTATGTCGTAATACTCAAACGCCACTCAATTAAGTCGCGCTTAAGTGTAGTTCTGTCACTTCAAATCTATGTATACACTACCGCTCAAAAGTATTTGGCCACTTGCACTTTTGATATTACCACCAACTATATTTCATTAAAAACAATTTCATTATGTTCCAATGTTTGTATTTCATCGTAAAATACTTATCTACATTCAAATAAGGTAAACAGCTTATTGTTATTGGCGAATTCCTAACGAAACGTGTAACGTGTTAAGTTTAATATTTAAAATAGTGTTAATAAATAGTTTAAAATATTATAAAGCAGTTTCATTTATTCAATCTTTCACAAAATGTATTTTACAGGGTGGCCAAATACCTTTGAGCGGTAGTGTATATATAAAAATGAAACCCGTTTCCCGTTGTCACGCTATAACTTGAGAACGGCTAGACCGATTTGGATGATTTTTTATTTATTTGTTGTGTTTGTTATTGTCAGGAGAAGGTTATTAAGACAGAAAGAATCCTGAAAATCCTACGGGAACGGGAGGAAACGAGACTGCGCGTACGAAGTCGCGGGCAGAAGCTGGTTCTTTATAAAATGACAGAGATGGCACTATATTTGAGTACAACTTAAAAATCTTCAAAGTAGCCTTTCAGCAGAGCTAAAGAAGTATGCGTATGGGCTGTAGTAGGCGGCACTATTGTACCAGCCTCCCCATAGAAAAAAGCGAGTATTTAAATGAATTTGTATAAATAATTAAGTACTACAGCTACCTATTAATAGAATGATACGTTAGTATCAGAGTTTGCAGTGTTGAGTGTACACACCATGTTTTATCTCAGGTAGATTCAAATACTTTGTTATCAGATCTTCAGGCTACTGTTTAGTCGGTTACGTAATTTCTTATGTTTATAGTAGGTACATAATACTATTATATTCTCAACATTTTTTTTAGAAAACCATTAATATCAAAATGATGGACTCTGTTCCCATACAAATATGTATTCAAGTAAGATGTAAACAGAGATCATAATTGCCAAAAACTATGTACTTTTAATACCAGATGCAACTCTAAGTAAGTATAACACAAACATACTTGCAAAGATATTTAAACCTACATTATAATAATAAACATTTTATATCGTTGCGCCAGGAGCCGGTGGAGCGCGTGGCAGTGATCACACTGCGGCCGACCCGTGCCGAGACACGCAAGAAGGTAGTCTGGACGGAAGACACCGTCGACAATGAGCATATGAACAAGAAGAAGTCCAAATGTAAGTAATCTTTAGTTAAATCCTTAAGAGATGTTGTAGGAAAATACGTTGAAGAGGACTAGAAATAAGGTTCAATTTAGTGGTCTCAAATGAGTATTTTTGTCGGGTATTTTTCAAACAGCCATGAATTGATTTTCCTTCAATTGCCCAAAACGATTAGGGTAGTATTTATACTAAATTTTATTTTAATGTTCGTCTGGTAGTTTATTTTAAAACGTTAGATTTTTATTTTTTCTTTTCTTACAAAATTACATACTTTCGATGATATTGATTTGAAATATCGTGTGATGTCACGATTTACTACATTTTATAGAGTAGCGTGACTTAACGACCTCCCTCCCACTCCTAAGCTTAACACCGTATTATCTAAGTATTTAATTATACGACAAAATAAAAAATCATGTGTCTAATATTTTCATTATCTGACTGACGGACTAATTACATTTTTAATTTTCATACACTGTGTTAGTAGACAGTCTATGAAAATTTGGGTAGTCCCTATTTTTAATTCTAATTAATAATAATGTACCTAATAATTAATTTTAAATTATAACAGGCTTAAGGAAATGTCTTTTATATAATTGTAATTGATATATTCAGATCTGAATGCATACCGCTCACACTGTGCACTTATACAATAGCCTAAACCTTTTAAGCACAAAAATATCAAATTGACATAACATCCACCCAGGTTGCTGCATATATGAGAAACCAAGAAAGTTCGACGACTCGGATTCGTCGGACAGTGACGACGATGAGTGCGAGCATTGCTTCGGCCACGTGGAGAAGAAGAAGAAGGGCAAGCACCACCACAACCACGACGCCAACTGTCCACACAGTGACACCGCCGCCACTGCGCAGGGGGGGACTGTTACTCTCACTGAGGTATGATGATACTGCACGAAATTGTTACAACGTTTCTTTTCTCTATAAATAAACACTAGGATTATCTCCGTGTCGTGAATGCGTTTACAATCACACAAATTGAAATAACATAACATCAAGCCTTTTATCTCCATAGGGGTAGGCAGAGGTGCACATTACAGCACTTATTCCCACTGTACACTGTAACACCCACTTTTCAGTATTTATGTTATTAGTCCCATGTAATAGGGGGTGAGCATGCGGGGGTGAGCGTGGCCATGTAATAGGTGCTAGTGCTACAACTCTAGGGTACGAAATGTCACAATCGGAATCTAATTTTAAAGAAAGCCCCCTGGAACAATTTGTGGATCACATCAAAGAGTTGTTGTATTCTGTTTTTGTTAGACTAAATTGACGTTATGACACTTAATTTCTTGTTATCACTGCTGTTAAATCACTATAATCTAAATCGAATCAAGTTTTCAATCTATTTAAATTACTTCGTCATTTCACTATCTTGTAAAATTGTAAAGTGTAATTTAATTATACTGGCTTTTATAGTACTACTTTTTCGCAGACGTATTTAATTTACCGCATCAAAATCCGTTGCGTAGTTTTATAGATCTGAACATACAATGGGACAAACAGAAAAAGCAACTTTATTTTATACTTTGTAGTGAAATGTAATTTATTAACAATGTAATTGTCTACAGACGGAGCCGGCGCCGGCGCCGGAGCCGACCGCGACGCTCACACTACAGCCGTCGCCTACACCTGCGCCTGCGCCACCCGACAAGAAAGACGAGTAACTAACCACACGCACTGTTAAATAAGTCAGCTTATATCTAATCTAAATAATAAATAATTTACCCACACATAGACAAATGACCGAACTAAGGTCACAGGAAGCTGTTGGATGCAGGTCGCTTCCTAGGTGACGGCCTATCTGGACGTCATTGGGAGAGACCTATGTTCAGCAGTGGACGTCCTATGGCGCATAAGATTATGAATAATATTTACTGTTATATTAAATGTGTGCACCTCTGTCTATCCCTTTAGGGGGGGGGGGGGGATTGTCTGATATAAGGCTATATCTCGTTTAGAAAATGTGAATGTTTTTAATATTATATGAGCCGTAATGGATAGCAACAATTTTGGTTATCATGTTTTCCGGCTTATTCGCGTAATTATTTGACGACGAACTTGAATTTTTAAGCCATGCTACTAGATGCATGGCCGCCGCGCCCAGATGCCGCGTCTTTAGAATCGCGGAATGCTGCTCAAGAATATGAGCCTCCAGCATGGCTTGAAACTAGTCGAGTTTCTCGTTAAGTAATTACGTGAGTAATCCGAAAAACATAATAATTAATTTTGTATGTCTCACGAAAGTTTAATATAAACAATTTTGGTGTTACATGAAATCTTTTTTTTTATTGATTTTTGATGGAGTGTAATAATTGCTATCTCTTTCATCTTTTAGTAATTAAAAAGAGACTAAAAATCGTCTTATCGACGATACAAGTGGTCGCATACGTTTGATGCTTGATCATGGAAAATTATTATTGGTATTTTGAATTTTAAAATACTCATTGATAGCACAAATTAAGACTAATATAAATAATTACCCTGTCCTCTTCTTACATTCGCTATTAGTAAAGGGTAGCAACACTCCAAAGTGCACGGAAACATATTATTTAGTATAATGTAAGCTAACTTATTTACCGGGTTTAATTTACGGACGTCGGCACATGAAGCTACGCCAATGTATCGAAACTTTTCAATACATTTTCGACTTAATTACATTTACATAAGAACTGTTTCACTAGGCGAATAGTTGAACACAATGCCAAGCAATGTGTCATTAGTCAAGAGTTATTGGGTCTTGGGTTCGATTCCTGGGCCGAGCAAATAATTACTGGGTTTTTAATAAAAATCTCAGTAGTAGCATGGAGTTTGGAATTGTGCCTGGTATATGGATGGTAATAGGCTCACTCCCTATTACAAGGGACTCATAACATAAATAGTGAAAAGTGGGTGTTACACTGTACAGTGGCATTAAGTGCCGTAATGTGCACCTCTGCCTACCCCTTCAGGGATAAAATGCTGATGTTATGTTGCTCACGGGATATGAAATTCAGTACGTGAATATGTGCACCCTTGCCCACGTTCAAATTGTGTGAATGACGTTAAATTAACTATAAATAAAATACCAGTTTGGGGTAGCTTGATGTGTACTCTGTTGTCAGCGACAATTTGTTAGTTAAACTAATATTGTGTAAGATTGACTGATTGGAAGCGAATATCGCGGGGTAAGGCAAGACTAGAGGAAAAGAATCGAATCAAGTTACTAGGATTATGAAATTGAACGCCTTTTGACGGAAAACAATAAATATTAGACCTATATTTTCATTGAGTTATACGGCTTACTCATACAACTACTTGACGGGGATTATGGGCCCTTATTGTGGTTTGAAACTAGTCGGGTTATCTCGTTAAATAGTTGCGCGAGTAAATCGTTTAATTAACCGAGTTGATTATTATGTTGAACTATCCTGTTATTCAATTTTGAGGTCTATTGCGTTTTGCGTAAGATTTATTTTAGCTTATGATTATGACTGTCTGAAAGATGAATTTACGATATCTCGTATTGAAAAGCCTTCCTTACTTTCACGGAATAGAACTCAAATTTGAATGAATTAGTCAATGATTTTAAATGTGTATTGCGTCTCTGTCCAACACGTTTATTTTGTTAGATGTGTGACAGAGACAACAATACTTCCCTCATTCAGTCATAAAAATGTCTTACTTGAATATTAAAAGTTCCTAAATCGTGTCTCGAGAGTAAATAAAGGAAATTGAATTGAATTCTGGAGGTGATAAGGATGTAATTCGCGTGGCAGGAAAACTTAAATGTTTAGATTAAATGTCTTGACATGTTTATAAGTTAGTTCTATAATTATGTACGTGCGTGTTTACATTGAATGTACTTTATTATAATTTATTCCCTTATTTTTATCGTTAAGTAACTTAGGTGTAGCTATTAAACCTTTTATTTCATTTTATTTTTGTTTTATTTTCTTTTTTTACTGTGGTGCCTGTTAATAGAAATTGATGTTCTATAGTAAGTATTATTAATTTATTTAGGTGGCAACATTAAGTATGGAAGACAAGGTGTAAATGGAACGCTCCCGAGGTAGTGTCATTAAGTGATCAAATAAGTGTTGTATAGTCGAGCATACGTACCCCTGTGTATAGGAAGCCATACACGCTAGGTTTTGGATGATGGTTTTAGCCGTGCATGCATAACCGACAGGCAAGCCCTAGCCGTGTATGTGATTAAAGTGTACAGTTATCGGTGCATCGGTGCTCGGTTATGCTTGTCAGTTTTGCATGCACAGTTATAACTATCATGCATAACCTAGCGTGTATGGCCTCCTTACGGAGAGTGGTGGCAACGCGTGCGCGACGCGGAGATGCGCGTGCTGAGTAGCGTTAGTACGAGTTTGATTTACGTTTAAAGTATTCGAAACAAGTATGCGTTCGGCACTCTGATTGGCCGGCACCAATGAAGCAACCAATCACAGCGCCGAACGCGTACTGTTTACTATTACTTTAAACGTAAGTATTGTACTAAGGCCTGAGGTCGGCGTGCGCGGACTCTTACTGACTAAAAACCACCCCGTTCCTGCTCTTACATTTCAAGCTGGAGCCCCGGTACCCTTTATGTTCTCCGCGGCCTCCCGAAACGCTGACAAAAAGAAATTATTTTTAAAATTTTAATTGTTCTTGTTTTCGTGTTATTCATGCAAAATCACTCTTAAACAGTTGATTACACCTATTATTACATAAAAGAAACATTTAATTACTTACTTTTATGAAAATAAACATTTTTTTACAATCACCTGTTGGCGTTTATCGGGGCGCGTTCCGGTTACACCTGTATATTCATATTTCAAATTATTATTATAAAAAGGCCTATAATATGTGTACCTTAATAATCATAATTCAACTATAATAAATAATAATAAACCTAACTTAATCAATATCATACATTAAAATCCCAACACATTTATCCGTAACTCCATAATTATATTAAAGTTACTAAAAACATAAAATATTTAAAAATATCGATGGTTATGTGAAGGTAGTTGGAATAATAATAGACTTGCGTTGACTTTTGTCTAGTCGCTGTAATTCCTCGTTTAGCTTTTGATGCGTTGTGTGACGTGAATGTTATATACGTTCTTCTAAATAAGGTGAGAACAAATCCAAATGAAGTTTTTTTTTTTATAGAGTAAGCCGGTAAACGAGCAGACGGATCACCTGATGGAAAGCAATCGGCGTCCACCATGGACACCTGGAATACCAGAGGCGTTACAAGTGCGTTACCGGCCATTTGGGGATTAGGAGTTTGAGGATCGTTGGGGATTCAGGCATAGGGGAGGGTAATTGAGCCTCCGGTAACCTCACTCACATGACGAAACATTGCTTCACGTCGGTTTTCTGTGACGACGTGGTATCACTCCGGTCGAGCCGGCCCATTCGTGCCGAAGAATGGCTCTCCCACACTTAAAAGTTGCTAACAGCTTGTTAAAATCACATTTGTTTTTGTTTTCATTTCCTCTATATGTATAGAGTATATCAATTTACCTAATCCATATTAGAGGTAATATACCTACAGACTGCCCCGCGTGGGAAAACGAATAAATGTAGCCTATAGTCCAGCGTATACCGGTAGAGGCGCAGTAAAGATACTGAGAATAAATCAATAAATATAATTATCAAACAACAAAATAAGTTAACTATTATGCCATAGATATCTTTGTCGCACCACCATCGGTGTGAGCTGGTCCTATATCACTATTCTCCTATCTTGTCATAAAAAGTTACTAACTTTATGTTTAGTTCGCTTTGTTCAGTGTATTTATCATTAAGTACCTTTATATTAGCTTAAATAAGTTTTTTCCGACTACCCTGACATAGCCTTATATTCCCATGTTAGTAGAGTAGTGATTGTTAGAATTAGAACTAATGTATTATTGTACATCTTGTACGCAATTGTTGTTAGTGAAATATCGTTTATTTTCAATAAATTATATTGAGAACGTATACTTTATAGTGTTCATTACATGTGCAGTTACCTTATTTCTCATTCCTTCATAATATTTCAACAGGTTTTACGCATGTAATGCATGAAATAGTGAACCCTTGTTAATTAGCGTTTACTCTTCAATATACGACCCGTAAGCTGTTGTCCTGTAGCTCTGTGATGATAATACTGTATAATATGCATTTGTTGTGGTCCTTACTCTTGAAAATGTCGCTAGGAACCACACATTTAGCAGTCCGAGCAAAATCGTTCTCTAATCAACCTGAAGCTGTCAATCCCTCCGCGTTTAAGTTATGACTTATGACTAGTTATGACAAACTCCCTGTGTAGAAGAGATAGCGCTGTATTGTCTTACGTCCAGTTTCTATAACCTATCTATCTGTAGATTTGCTTACTAGAGATAGAATTTTGACATGAGCTCCATACAAAATGTGTCTCGCGAAACTGGACGTTAGGCTGTTGATCTTTAGGTAAGTAGGTAAAAAACGACCAATAATATATTTGTTAATTTATTGAAACATTACATAGGTACAGTAAATTTATGCTTATCAGTCCTTATTCAGATCAGCAGTGTGTCAGCATCTGTATACTGATGATAGTGATATATTTCATAATAATATTCGCAATAGATAACACGTACGGTTATAATTTAGAAAAGTATTACTACCGCGAGAAAACTGTTTAAGGTAAATCCTCCGATAACATTAACGGCCGATTTAGGCGCTGCGCAACTGTGGACACTTTGTTTCCAATTATCGACTTCAAACGCTTTTTAAACGATATTGTTAAATGCATGCGCAGGAAGTGGATGATTTCATACTGGTTTGACATCAAATATGCATTCGTAGCTAGTGTCTGACACCAGACTCAGTGTCCACGTTTGCGGCCTGCGTTAGGTATCGTCCAAATTAATTTATTTAAAATGTTATGTACATATCTATAAGGTAATGCGATGTTTTCTATGGTTAACTTGAATATTTATGCTGACCCGACATTATACTAGTTATGGAAAATTAATGACATAATAGTGAATAATTAAAACGCGTTAATCTCATTATTAGGGCGACCAAAAAGTTTTGACCCTGAGTAAATTTTATTATCATTAATGATTCGCGCATCGCAACCCGCGAATCATTAACGATATAAAATTGAATGGGGCCTACCGTATTTTTATTACACTCCAGATGGTGCTAGTGTGACCTCTCGTCCTTCGTCCAGTAGGGAATAAGCTAGTATCACCTTATTGGATGTTCAATACTTGACAACTGCATTGGACTAAAAATCTCTTTCGACATTTGCGCCATCTATTGACTGAAAATACGGTAGCCCGCATACACATACGACTACTTATTATTCCAAGGGCACGCGGGCAAAGCAGCTGGCCGAAGCTTGTAATCTATAAGTTTCATAGATTTTAGTTTACACCGTTAATAGTATACATCTCCACCATGTCTACCGATTCATGGTAGGTGTCCTACCCACACGCACAAAGCGCTTTGCATCAAGCTTCCTTGTGCGTATTGCTAAGGAGTGGAATTCTTTACCAGAGCCTGTATTTCCTGGGTCTCTTCAAGGCCCGAGTGAATAGGTTGGTTATGGGACGATGTGCTCCATCGTAGACCGCATCATTGCTTACCACCAGGCGATGATAGTGGTCAAACGTCGGCTCATCAAATATAAAAATAATAAAGAGTCAAAATTTTAAACATAAATAAAACAGTGTTTTATTTCCTTGTTAGTTTCGTACCTTTATAATTTTAATTAACATAAAGTGAAAAGGAAGATCAAAATCAACATGTTTTCAAATTTTGCTATCAAATGTTTATATTTCAGGTTTACATATAAAATAGTGTTACTAATCAGAATTTCCCCTCTAGGCAAGTGGTATACACCCTAGTCAAATATTCATTCATTTACGTTAAGCACCTACGGGATGCCTAAGTGTGGAGAAAGCTAAAGAAGTACCTATATAAGGTTTTTACTGTCTGAAGATCTGTTTCTAACTGTTGTGGGATAAATGCATAGTCATTAATATTCTTTTCAAAACAGAGCTGCTAAAATGCTATAACATTTATTTATTAAAAATGTATGATAAATGATTGTCTCACGATAAAATGTGATGTAAAATTATAGACTGCCTCGTTGGCCGAGCGGTCGCAAGTGCAACTGCCGGGCGATGGGTCTCGGGTTCGATTCCCTGGTCGGGCAAAGTATTACCGGGTTTTAAAGAAAATCTCATTTAGCCTGGAATTGTGTCCGGTATATGGCAATAGGCTCACCTCCTATTACATTAAAAAAGAGTGAAAAGTGGGTGTTACATTGTACAGTGGCATTAAGTGCCGTAATGTGCATACCCCTTCGGGGACAAAAGATAGATACTAGAAATTAATATATAAGCTCTGTATTGACTAATTTTAATATTAATATTGTAACGTCATGGATAATTATCAGCCTATCAGGTAAATCTATCAAATAATGTTTTATACAATAATTAAATTAAATATCCTACATACAGATGAGTAATTAATACATCAAAGATTAAAAATATCGACACTTAAGTTCCTTACTGCGATACTCAGGGACATTCAATGATTACTTAACTATTCGTTAGAAACGATTATTTTGAAAACAATTGGGATGATGACAGGGTATGAAAATTAAAAATCTAATTAGTCCGTAAGTTAGGTAATGAAAAAATATTAGACACGTATTTTTTTTTATTTTGTCGTATAATAAAACAATACTTAGAACGAACTTAATACTTAGTTCTACGTATAAAATGTACATAGAAGTGACGTCACGCGACATTTCAAATCAATATATCGTCGAAAGTATTAGTTTCGGTAAGAAAATATAAAATACGTGTCTAATGATTTAAAACAATCTACCAGACGGACATTAAAATAAAAATTAGGCATCTACCCTTTTGCTAAGGACTAGCCATTAAATGACTCTGAGTACGGCGGTAAGAATACAAATATAAATTTTATAGATATAGATAAGATCTAAAACTGATTTCTATAAAGTATTTCTTTGATTCATGTTTAATATCCAATGTATTAGGTTCGATTTCGAACTTTCTCATTGGATATTTCGATGGGAATAAATGACAATATTCTCGTACTTTAAATACTACATAATATTTTGTTAACTGCCTACCCGTTCGGGAACTAAGAAGCGTGATGTTACATTGTTACGTATGTAATACCTACTAAATTATTTTTAATACAATTAATTAGCAATTCTCAATTGCTAACTAGCAATTGGGAATAACAGGCAAGTACATCAATTTAATAATAATGTAATCAATAAATCAAATTTAAAAATAAATTAAACTAATATTTACAGCCTTCTTATGTAAATTACTCGAGGATACTCAACTCATTTCAAACCAAACCGAGCTCTTCAGTCAGTTACGTGACGTCATTCGTAGCGCACTCGGCTCTTGATTAAGAGCCCCAGTGTAGTTCGAAACTAGTCGAACATCCTCGAATAGTTTACACGAGCAAGCTATAAATATTAATTAAATACCAAGTCTCATCATAATAACTATACACAAAATAAATAAATACCTACTAACATTATTATTACATCATTTATTTGTCTACAGAATCACATAAAATGGTTAGATATTTATTATTTACCTATCAGGTTGTTATAATTATGGAAATGCGTAATTACACACAATTTGTTACTATGTAATTTGATAGCAATGATATTGTATGTACACCAACCTAGCTACTCACTTTGAGACCAATATCTGTGGCATATGGCTGAAATTTAAAACTGTTTTCAATCCACAATCTTTAGATTAAGGTCGATTTTTAATATTGGTTTTATGGGAATTCTGTCAAAAACTCAGATAAATCTCTGGATTTACATTTTTATTTCGACCGATAGTAATTGAATACTTGCTAGTCAAATTCAATACTTTTTTCGAACTGTAAAACGAGTTTTCGAGGTGTATTGTGACGTCACGTTTTTTTCTGCGTCAAACAGGATACTTATTTCTTAAAAATTTGCTGGTAAAATACTAAAATTCAGTTGGTCATAAAATCAATTAATGTGTGATTATTTTTTAATATTTTATTGTATGGACAGTTCAAATAATTTATTTTTGATGAAAGCAAGTACCCAATTACTAGAGTCTAATCAAATTTATTGTGACATGTCTAATACTTAAATCGAAATAGCTTAGAGTTGTTTTGTATGTGTAGTTACTTTTTCTAAGAAAAACATTCTTTTGAATATATCGACACATTGATCCAAGAACCACCAACATTTGAGCCAATGCTATTTCCCAAACAAACATTAGACAAATGACTTTAGTGCTATTGGAGCCAAAGTGTGAAGCCGGCCAATAAAACAAGCTTCTGATAATCATGATAACTTTAAAAAGATATTTATAAATAGGCTAATTCATACTCCGTTGTACCTGAGATCCAGTCTCGCAAATCATAAACTACTATAAAATAATAACAACTATTAAAGCCATAAGTAATTAAGTACGCCGCGCACTTTTGAAGAATAGAGATCATCTTCGCAATTTCCTGAAAACAAAGAGAAAACAATAACTATAGAAAGGACTAACTATTAAAAAAATATAATGGGCAAAAAATCAGCGACTACCTCAATAATAATTATGCAATATAGAAATGCATCTATTTACAATATCTATTCAAATGAAATTCTATTAATATGGGAACTAATTATGTGTTGATAGGATTTTTTTGTTCCCTGCCTTATCATACGCAGAAAAGCAGACTTGCTAACTGGAACCCCGGAAAAATACAGATTAAAAAGATGTCCCCTTCCACGTCTGTCAATACAATCACGATAAATTGGAAGATAAACGGACGGAAGTTTTTAGCAATAGGATGTTCATTAATTCTTGGTTAACCCTTAAAGCGCCACGTCAGTCACCGGTACATGACGCTAGACGTTTGACTTTCACCATTTTAAACTTGGCAGTTAAAGACAAACTGCCAAGTTTAAAACAAAGTGAAACAAGTGAATTTATTTATGCAAATAGACTACAAGGTAGGACTTTTACACGTTAATTTTATCAAGCGAACGATGAGGTCAACATTTCCTAACTGACTACTCTGAGAAGAAATGCCGAAACAAACTCAGAGGTCTGTCTCTTTTAAAGTCCAGACAATATAAATAACAGATTATGTGTGAGAACCGTGCAAGCTCTTTCTGTAGTGTCCTTTTGAGGAAAGAAATTGCAAGATGCATAATTTATTACAATTTTTAGCAATGAAAGCTAAGTAATTCTTACTTACCTATTCAAAGGTTTCTCCTTATAGGTGATGGCCTTCCTAGGCCTCCGCGTCCGTCCCTCGCCGACAGTCCCCCCGGCGCCGCTGCTGTCGCTGTCGTCGAGTCTGCCGCGCCGACTGCTCTGTCCGCTGTCGCGGGCGTCCTGGCTGCCCAGTCTGCTGTGGCGGAGGGTAGAACTGGAGATGAATAGTACATAATTAATGGTACAAATGTTAACTATAGATAACTTGGTTAACAACCAGCAAACGATTGTAAAGACACATGTATATCTCCTGAAGAGACAGCTCTTTAGGTAAGCACAGGCTTGTCTCATAACTTTGTTTGTATTGTCGTTGTATCAAAAAGGCGAGCATCATTTTATATTTTGCTTTGTGCGACTAAGACCTCGTGCAAGGAGGTGTTATGAATTTAAATCACACGAATCTTACAAAGAGTATTTTAGATTTAATAACAAGATTACAATTGATAGTTTGCGGTAACTTAACTCGTCGAGTACCGTCATTATAGACACAATTATAGAACAATAGGTTGCGGTCACCGGTGACCGCTTGGTGTTTGACAGTTTAAAGTAATGAAGAGTGCTGGGTGGGTGTGTACAATAAACAATGAGTACCTGTCCCTGGAGTGCACGAGCAGACTGCGGTCGTCGAGGTCGCGACTGTGTCGCCCCCTGCCGCTAAGGGACGCCTCCCGCACTGACTCCGGCACTTCCTGGTCTATGCTTCTAGCTTCCCTGGTAACGGGGATAAGCAATATTAATATTAGTTGAGGAGTTACTTCTTTAAGTGCTTTCGTTTTCGTTTTAAGGGCTTTCTGAACTTTTCTTGTTACTTACATATGAATAATTATTCATACATAGATTTACAAATATTAATTTGTTTCCATGTAGCATGTAGTAACACTTCATTGTAACGTCGCGTATCGCGAAAGTTTCAACTCTCTCGAATCGCAGTGTTGGCTACTGGACTTCAAAAGGGACTGTGACATGCTCGATTTCAGATTTTGCTTCCTATAATAATATTTTTTTTAAGAGTACTGTTTTGTAACTTATTTACAAAAATATATTCATTATTATTTGTACACTAATGTACGATGACTTACGACACAATAACTCTGGAGTCAGTAGCCCCGTTGGGGCTGGGTGCGTCGAATGGTGGCACCGTGCGCGGGGACCGAGCCTGCTTCGCCGGGGACAGGGCCAGGGGACTGCCGTCTAGGCGCATCTTAGCCACCAACACCTTTAGCACTCGTCCGTTCAAGCTGGAAATTTAAATTGTAGATAATTAGAGGGAATAGTGGCTAGATCGTCTGCCACATACGATAAACTTAGCTAAAACTAGAGAGATGAGTACATTTTTGGGCAAAAGTGATATTTAGTAGCCCATTTATGTAAGAAAGTACAATTTTTAAAGTTAAATACATATATCAAAATTTGCCAAAACAAGCCCTTAGAGAGTTTAACTAGGCAAATATGTGTAGAATGTGTGTATTGCAGGCACCTGGTCCGACTGGTCCGCCTGGAGGCGGCGGGGCGCGGCGAGTAGTGCGGCGTGGCGGCCGGGGACGACGTGCGCGCCCGCCGCCGCACCGTCGGGGAGAACGACACCTGCGCCGGGCTCGCCTCCGTCTGCGGGGCACGGGGACTGTTACTGCACTGGATTCGACATCGCGATGGAGAACTTCTGTAGATGCCCTTTGCCTAATCTTTTTTTTCATTCTTTTATTTTCTTAGGAACTTTTTAACACAGTTCACGCCATAACTTCCATCACAACTTTTGCCTATCTTTGGATTAGACGTTGACAACTTGAGAACACTCCGTTGGTAATCAAGTTTGAAAGTCTCGACAAATGATTATTATCTATGCAAAAGCTGGACTAATATAGACAAGTTTCCCATTGGGGAGATCCTTTAATGTTTCAACATGATTGATTTCCTGGGACTGACAGCAGATGCAGTAATGAACAAAAAAAGTATTAAAAGTACTTACTGGTACATTTTCATCAGTGTTCCTGGTGGATGTGTTTGGTGTCTTGTTCCTCTCCGTTGTGGAGTCCAGTGTGAAGCTCCTACCATTCCTTGGTGTGGGTTCCTGAATAAATAATATGTATATTGATTTTATGACAGTGCTGCAAACGAATAGATAGATCACCGGATGGTAAGCAAACGGCGCCGCCCAAAGACACCCGCTACAGCAGAGGCGTTGCAAAATACGGTTGGGGGAGGGAGGGGATTGGACTTCTGATAACCTCACTCACAAGGCGATATATAACGTAAGCGTTATTTTACTTTTAAGCCAGTTTCCTGTGAGGCTGTGGTGTCGCTCCGGTGAAAGCGGCCCAGCAGTGCCGAAATATAGCTCAAGCGTTACAAAATTTATACAGTTCTAAAATTTTGACGATCTGTATAACTTACATGGCGGTTTGTAGGAGTATGAGAAGCAGCTGTAGGAGTGCGAGGTGTAGTCGGGGTGCGGTCCAGTAACCAGCTGGGACCTTCCAGTGGGTTGTCATATGCGGTGCTGTTCATAGAGGCCTGGTGAGCCTCTTCCGGAGACTCCTCGATAGTCTCAAATCCTTGCTGAGGCCAACTGTCATCTCGTAACTGCATGCCTATCCTGTTTAATAGACTAAAACTATTAATTTAAATAAAAACTTGGCCTAGCACTAGGTTTTTCTTCCATCGTGGGTTTGACTAACATATATCTATATATATAAAAGAAAGTCGTGTTAGTTACACTATTTATAGCTCAAGAACGGCTACATCGATTTGGATGACAATTGGTGGGGAGGTAGATTAGAACGAGGAGACGGACATAGGATACTTTTTCATCGATTTTTTTTTTACTTTTCACCGAAAATCACGAACGGGGACGGGAAAGAACGGGATTGCGCGTACGAAGTCGCGGGCAGAAGCTAGTTAGTTATAATTTGAGAATCTCGCAAAGATTGTGTAGCGGCCAGCCAGCACCACAATTTCTATAGCCTATTACAATGATTGTAATAGTACTTTATACAAAATTTTTTTAGTTCATCTTATTTAAACTGTCAAACACCAAGCGGTCACCAGTGACCGCAACCTATTGTTCTTTAATTGTGTCTATAAATACGGTACTCGACGAGTTAAACAAAAAGCGTGGCGTTTTATCATATGTATTGACAAAAATAATTCCATACCTCTGTGATTCTTCCATGACCACCCTTTCTTCCTCACTCTCCGGCTCCAATTTACTGTCACAATTTATTATAAATAAATTATGGGTCCCAGTTGTAGCTCGAAACTCGTCGAGCATCCTCGAAAAGTATACTTCATGAAAATAATATGAAAAATTGCTAAAAATTAACTTACATAGCATAGTCGTTCCCTTCTGACATAGGCTCCCCACTGGAGTCCAAATTCTGATCATCGTAGTGTTGTTCTGGCTCTCCCTCATAGTGTTGTTCCTCCTGTCCGTCATAATGTTGTTGTTGTCCGTCATAGTGTTGTTCCTGCTGTTCGTCATAGTGTTGTTCTTCATCATAGTGCTGTTCCTGATGTTCTGGATGTTGTTGAACATGTTCTTCATAGTGCTGCTCAGAAGGTTGCTCATATTGATCCCCTGACCGGTCTGCCGTGCGTTCTCTGCGATCCCTGCGGTCTCTGCGGTCACGGCGGTCACGGCGCCTTTGCCCTCTGTGAACTTTGAGGAAAAGCAAAGGTGTCACATTAAATTAAAGCTACATAGTACAGTATAGAGTACATAATCGAATTTTGATATAAGATTTGTAGTGTAATGATGATTAAATAACTATCATATTGTTGGTACTTGGTAGTCAATTCAGACTATTATTTATTTTGTATTTGTTGATGTTTCAAAAGTACCGAATTATGGTTTAATTGAAATAAATGCTTTGACTTTGACTTCAACTTAAGTGAAAGTAAGAAAGAAAATTATTGTACGGCTGCACACACACAGTTGTTCACTACGACATGCAACGCGCAATCCTGCTCCCGATTACAAGCTCCGAAAGTGGCTTGAAACTGGTTGAGCATTGTCACTAAAGAGTTTGTGATTTACTGTAATAATTACTTTAAACTGTCAAACACCAACCTATTGTTCTTTAATTGTGTATATAAATACGGTACTCGACGAGTTAATTTGGTTACGCCTTTAATATTATTAGTTTTTAATAAATTAATTATTATTAAACGAAAATGTATATACCCACAGAGAATTAAAAAAAATTGTATTAAAATATACAGTAATTATTGCAACAATATAATATTGACTTACTTGGCACTGGAACTCCTGGCGGTCCGTACCCTTCCATAAACTCCTCAGTACCCGTGTCCATATTAGATTCCACATCCACAGTTGGGTGTGCAAAATCTGATATATCAATCCTAGTTAATGGAATATAGACATCTGGAATGAAATAATTACTTTGTATAAAACCTTTAATAGAAATAAGTAAACGAAAATCTAATAAAGAAAAAACAATATTAGGTTTTTTAAAACTTGACTTTGGCATCACAATAGATGAATGTAACATTATTAAAATTGAGGGAACTGTGATCGCGCCGCAATAATATTTTAGCAATGTTTTATTACTGCATTACCACAAAAAAAATGTATTTTTGACTTAAATATGTCGTTTGTGTTTACATACCTTGCAACATGCGTAAAGGCACTGCCCTCTCAGTAGTATCTCCAGATCCTAAAAAACAAGAAAGTATTAATAAATTTATATTTTATCTCTACTCTCTCATTCACACAGATGTTGCTTCTGTATCATCTATCAGTGTGTTTACAAAAAAAATTCAATTTGATATAAATAGTTCTAATATATGTAATCCATATTCAATATACAGTTCTTATATATGTAAAAGCTACACACATTTCAAATATCTTGCTGGAATTGATCGCACAGTTACTACACCAAATGCACAGCCAAATATTTTTAGACAAGGACAAAATTCCTACCTGATCCACTTCTTAGCAAGATAGTCCTGTTAAGTTCAACTACAGGCTGAACACAGCGCCCTTCCATCATCATAGGCGCCACTCTGTGCACTCTTTCTGTATTATCTGCTCTCGGAGTCCCACCAAGTGTGCTCCAACGAGGCAGCTGCTCCTCTAACTCTTCTCTTTCCCTCATATAAACTTTAGCTATCTCCATACTTTTGGCTATTTCCGCAGAAGCATTAACCAGATGTGCGATAGCTTTCTCACTTGCTTCTTGTAATGCACCGTCAAGTTTCTTTGCTTTGGTTGAACCATGGTTTCTGAGCATCTACAGAGAACAACCACTTAAATTAATTGAATATCTAGGTATCAACTTACCTACCATGATGGTATTGGCTGCATTATCTAATAGATCTTGTATGTAGTTTTTGTATATAGTAAAACAATTGAATTAAAATCTTAAATAAAAATAAGTGGCCAGGGCTAGCCCATACAAAGTGACAAATACAGTGCAGAAGTATGTGTGCAAATATAGATGCACTCTTAATTCTCTCACTCTCATAGCCCAAAGAGATGGCAATTTGACACGATTGAAGTGCTTTTTGTGGCATAGAGATGAAGGATACTCAGTGACCACACCAGTTTGCCAATTCTGGGCTAATGGTACTGGCTATTACCACTAACAGCCCGACGCGGTTATTGAGCCTGCCCCAGATCGTACAACAGCCACTCACTCAGCCACTACATCAACCGTACAGTTTCACATTATTATTTTAGCGGTAATTAGTAACAAAATTATATTTTTAGTTTACCAGATAACATTCTAGATGACTGCGAAAAGGAATAATAAATACGTACGCTCAGTTTAAGTCTCAATTCATTGACCTCTTTCATAAGTGTCAGCTTCTCATCCTCCTTCTTGGCGGCAGCCAGCTTCCAGAACTGCACTTTTTGCACCAGTTCATTATTTTTCTCTTTCAAATCCCTAATTTCGTCTTCTAACGTCGCCATTGCACAAAACACTTTTTACTTAATCAACCACTACTTGAACTGTACACAAGGTACAAAAGTATAAGCAAATAATTGTCTTTAATTCAAGAAAAAGCCAGCTTTATCAATCCATTATCAATAACAATTATTATAAACAGAAAAACGGTAAAATCAAATTCCCTAGCAATTTCGAAACTGACAATTAGATTTTTGAAGTCAATTCAATAAATGAAATGTCAATGGAATGGAGCTGAATGATGAAATGAATGAATGAATTGTAATTATGAATTATTTGCCATAAGATAAAATTCGACTTCGATTGACTTGCCACCACAGCTCACTCGGCAAAACTTAGCATAGCACTTATAACTTAATTATTGTAGCTTAACTATTTAAAAAGTAAATAATGAAATAAAATAATCAATGTCAATGTAAATTAAATAAAAAATCTTTATGAAACATGCATATTTTCAACTGATCCAACTATAATCTGTGAAAGTACATTTCTTCCAGATGGCAACATTATTCCAAACCCGTCAAGCCGTCAGTCAACATTGTCAACACACACATTTCGGGAGTGTCAAAGTCAAAGTGTGCATGGTGTTATCACGCACGCTTTGAGGTTATACTTGTTTCAAACACGCTTTAGTTTGTGACACTATTTACATATACAATGTCGTTCCGCGGTAGAGGAGGTGGCGGCGGCGGTCGTGGAGGTTACGGTGGTGGTGGCGGCGGAGGAGGTAGAGGCTTCGGTGGCCGTGGAGGCGGCGGCGGCCGCGGCGGCTTCGGAGGCCGTGGCGGTGGACGCGGTGGCCGAGGCGGTGGCGGTGGTGGCGGATACAGACAACAAGATCAAGGCCCGCCTGAGTCTGTAATCCCACTGGGTCACTATGGCTGGACAGTTCAGGACGATTTGGTGTGTAAAGTTGACATCGAAGATGTACCATACTTCAATGCACCCATCTTCCTCGAGAACAAGGAACAAATCGGGAAAATAGACGAAATATTCGGTAACCTGCGTGACTACTTCGTATCTGTAAAGATGAGTGACAACTATAAAGCCAACAGTTTCAAGTCAGGACAGCAGTTTTACATTGACCCGGCAAAATTACTGCCACTGAAGAGGTTCTTGCCACAGCCTCCTGGTGCTAAGAGAGGTCGTGGTGGCGTAGGCCGTGGAGGACCTCGCGGAGGTCGTGGTGGCGGCGGTGGTTTCGGCCGAGGTGGCGGTGGCGGTAGAGGAGGTGGTTTCAACCGAGGTGGAGGCGGTGGACGCGGTGGTTTCGGCCGCGGCGGCGGCGGAGGATTCAACAGAGGAGGTGGTGGCTTCAGAGGCGGAAGAGGAGGGCGATAGCCACTGGCTGCAAGTGATTAGACTATAGTTATGTGCATTTAGAGTTAAGGACCTTGTGTTGATGTCTATTGTTATAGTTGACCTGCAAAAAGCTGTATGAAAGAGTATAATATTCATTATTATGATATCTATTGTCTTTGTCTACAAGCATCTACTTAATGATCACCGAAATGATGTTTTAGCTGAAGACAACAGATACTTATTTTGTCCATAATATGTTGAATTGGGGATGCTGAATATCTGATAAAAATATTTTGTATTGAATGACTTGTATAAAAACTTGTTAAATATGAGAACATTTAAAATTTGTTAGGTTTTCCTCGAGGTACAGCTAAATAAATATCTATAAATGTATTCCATAAATGTAACATTAAAACCATATTACAGTAATTATACATGTGCTATTTTTTCTGTAAATACATGTGATAATAATTTGCTAGAGTATTTAGGGTCCCATGAATACCTAAATTTTTTAAGACATGACAGTTCAAATGTTCAAATAGACGCAGTTCTTCACTTATTTGCAGATATAAAATGTAAAAACTATTTTTAAGAAATAAAACCTATATTTTAAGATAAGAATTGTTTTATTTGCTTTTACAACGGAATTGAAATCACAATCGAATTTAGTTATAATTCATATTATTACATGCAGACATATTTATACTTGAACTAGTGAAATTTTAATGATCCTGTTGAACTTTGGTAATACAGCAGCACCTCTATAATCCGAATGCCTCTGTGTTTCACACGCTGAACCAGTGGCAAGGATTTCTAATTTAAGCGCCATGTCTGCCTGTTTAATGGGCTGATCGAGTGGATATTCCTTTGCCAGAAAAAATTTTTTTTTCGTAAATTACGAGATAAGCATTTTATTTGTCTTGTCATAAAACACCACATGACAAACCAAAATACTGGATTTCTTCAAAAAAGTTGAATAAAATATGTAATGATTATAAATAAATACAGACTTAGCGTTATTTATGTTCCTATTAAACTGCCAAACACCAAGCGGTCACCGGTGACCACAACCTATTGTTCTTTAATTGTGTCTATAAATACGGTACTCGCCGAGTTAAGTAGTTTTATTCACAAAAAATACCCTTATCATCTATACCCCTATAATCTGAATGGGGTCAGGGTAAAATTTTCAGAGTTCGGATTAAATAGGTCCTGCTGTAATGATAAAGTAAAAAAAAACTTTTGAAGTTCACATATTAGTAGTCTACTAGTTCAGACTTTTAAGAGAAGAAACATTATGAGTGTTCATCTAAGATGAGCACCATGGAATACATTTTCTATCGCATAATGTGCACATCTACCTAATATTTCAGGAAATGCAAGGTTGTCTGTAAATAAGCAAATCCAGTTTTCATCTAATATGATGTGCACATACATAGCATAGCAGAAATAAGTGCAAATATGAAAAAAAACCTGTCAAAGTCAAAGTCAAGTTGTTTTATTTACTTCTGAATAGACCTACAGTGAATCAAAATTATTGCCAATAGTTCTTAAACATAATGTTTTCTATCTTAATTAACCCTTTGAGTACTGTCATTATAGACACAAATAAAGAACAATAGGTTGCGGACACCGGTGTCCTCGTGGTGTTTGACAGTTTAAATGGTAACATACTATTTTGAAAGAAATCATGTTTTTGTTGTGCAGTGGCATAACTATACCGATGGAGGCCTATGCCAAAGTCATCGAAGCGGATGCCTAACAAATATAAAAAAAGAGAGTCCAGATGAAAAACTGACTAGGGACCCCTTCTAGTTGGGGGCCTGTGGCATTTTACCGACTTGCCACTCTGTAGTTATGCCACTGCTATCAAATTAATCTGCTTCGATACGGGTCTATAGTATTATCATCAACAACCAGTGTCTGCATACAACTGAGAATATGACACTATGATGAGTCAGAATGTCCAATACAAAATAAATAAACTTCATCAAATAACATAATGATAACTTGTCTTAACAAATAAATAATTATACTAGCTCTAGTAATACACTATTCAACATTTTCTAGTTCACATTTGCTACCACTGGGAATATAATTGTCAGCTAAAGCCTTTCCTCTGTGGTTGAAGGTGTAGAATGATGGGAGGTTTCTCTGTGTCTCCCATTTTACTGTATTCAGTTCAGCAGCAGCTGGTATCTCTCGTAGATTACCAGCAACATTGAGGACTCCCCACATTACAGCAAATAAACTAACCACTGCTTGTACTACGATCTGAAAAGGGAGGAAAATTAGGTATCCCATATATCAAGTTTTACAAGTTCAAGATATTTTTACGAATTAACTGATTTTACTCACATCCAAAGGTAACGTGGTGAATTCCTGTGACGTTATTCTAAGGTACGAACGATCTGTAAGAATTGAAGTATAATAGTAAATTTATTGGAGGAAAATATTCAATAAAGTTGTTCCCGAAGTCGCAAACACTTACGCTGTGCTGCTGAAAATGCTGAGTGGAATAGGGATAGAAATCCTACGGTAACAATTAATTTATGCACTGAAGATCCCATTTTTGCTTATTATTATTAAAAACAACTGGATTATAAACTTTTCGATTGTAATTTTAACAATCAGTGATAACACAAGTGATGAAGTGAGTGATACTACAAAATTGATTGACGTTTATTTGATGTTTTCGATGTCAAAGTGGAACGTTCACATTCACAGAGTAGTCGAATATTAAACGAGTTTAAACTCGTCTAATATTATGAATCAATTCGTTAAATGATTTAATTAATTTAAACATAATAATGTAGTTGCAGTATTATATATAAAATAATGATTTAATTACTCAGAAAATTAAAAAAGACTGCCGCGTTGGCCACGTGATCGCAAGTGCGACTGCCGGGCAAGAGGTCTAGAGTTTCATTCCCAACAACAACACACATCAAAATAACATCACGCCTTTTATACCCGAAGGGGTAGGCAAAGGTGCACACAGAAGTAACACCCACTTTTGACTATTTATGTTATGACTTATGAGTCCCATGTAATAGGGGGTGAGCCTATTGCCATATACCGGGCATGGTAATAAGCTACCACCCTATTACATGAGACTCATAACATAAAACAAAAAAAAACAATCAGCCGAACATAGTATGTACCTCCTCCTTTTTTTGAAGTCGGTAAAAAAGTGGGTATTACATTATAATAGCGGCACTAAGTGCCGTAATGTGCACCTCTGCCTACCCTTGCGGGGATAAAAGGCGTGATGTTATGTTATGTTATGTAAAATTATAAAATAGGTACACAATTACTTATACAATCATTAGTCTTTCCTTCATTGTTCAACTTGTAGTCGATCACATAGTCGATTAACTCATCACGATTGGGTCCAGGAAAGTTTAGTTTCTGTAACTCACTGTCACTCACAGCTCACTTCGTCACATCACTAGTTAATTCAAACTTGCGGCAGCGGCTGGGCGTGTGTGTTGTTTACTATTCAGTTATTTTCGTGTTTTTGTAACAGAAAGTGCTATTAGAAAAAAAGATGAGTCGAAATTTTAGAGATAGAGAAGAATTCCAAATGGATACAAAGCCCTCACAGAGGACTGGAAGTCAGAAATTTAGATATTTTTTCTACGACGGTGATTCTGGCGAAATTTTGGGACGAACTCCTGAAAGTTGGGGTCAGTGAACTTATATTTTGTATTCATTTTCATGAGATAAAAAGGTTATCAAAAGTTTCTTACAAAATTAAGAGAATTTTGGTACTCTTCAAGATATTCATTGGATAACAACTTTTGTTGTAGGGCGTGGCTTATTGTTAGGATTCAATCTCTAACCAATCGTTACTATTATTTTTTGCAATTTCGCCGATTTAAAATTTTTTAAATAAACAGATGAAACTAACTGTTTTTAAGAATAAAACAAAATGTTTCACGTTCTTATCTTCTTTAATATCTCATTACTTTTCTGTAAGTCTTACTAATATTATAAATGTGAAAGCTTGGGAGTTTGTATGTATAAGTGTATGTTTGTTACTTAATCAAGTCAAAACGGCTGAAGGTTAGATAATGGTCTGAATTATCACATAGACTATTTGTCCCACATGAATGCTTGCAAATCGGCAGGCAGATACTAGTATAATAATCTTTAAAAAAATCTTCAATATCATCGAGGTCAAAGACAATTTACAAAAGTCTTTATCCAATTAATTAAAAAAAGTCATTACAGCCAGCCAGTGTTAATAGCTCTAATCTGTCAACCATAGCTAATCTACTTAGAAGCCCTATGTTATGTCTGTGTTTTAATTCTACTTTAACTAATCCGGTTATTATACACTTAGCACCTAATAGTATATCAATAATATTGTCTCACCAGCTATTTAGTGTCACCACTAAGTTCTTCATAGGTATAAAAGTATTTGTGTAATAGAGAAAAATTTAAAACCAATACTTTAGTTAGGAAATACTGGATATAAAGGAGTTCATTTCGGCTCCATACATTTTGGGGTCTTTTCTGATGGTGCCTTTTCGGAAAAAACGATAAGTAAAAGCACCTTTAGGAAGCAATAAATGTATGAAAATGATGAATCTTTGAACTGGTATAACTTCTTCATCTTGGATCCTACAACTTTTATGCCATATTAACTATTGCTCTAAATAGCTAGTTCTAACGATACATACCATTTTTTTGTTGGCTAGCTTCACTATGAGTAAAGGCCCAAAAAAATGATCTCATTTAATAAGTTTAAGTCAAACTGTATAATAACTAAGTACTCAAATTATCTAAATTATAAAACAAAGGGGAACTGTTTGATTGTCACGTAATTGCTCATTTTTATTACTTATTAGACCCAATGTAGCCCAAACAGTTTCCATGAGTAAGACAAATATTTCAGCGGTATAAATATCTTTTAAACATTATATATATATTTGGTGGTATATCCAAACTGATATGACCTTCAAACCTTCAAGAAAAGAGTGCGTGCATTCCTTTCTAAACAGCCAGCAATGTACCTGTGACTCCTCGGGTGTTGCAGGTGTCCATGGGCAGCGCTGAACGCTTACCATCAGGAGATCCGTCTGCTTGGTTACCTCCTATTCCATAAAAATAAAATTATTTTGTAGGACCTATTTCTTGGAAACGAACTAAAAATCATATTTAGTGCCATTGAAGCTTCAAAAAGTACTTTTTGTTTTTTTTTGTGATAACAAGAGTAATTTAGGTAACTAGTTCTTAAGAATTTGTTAAGAGTGGTACATATTCTTGCTAAGATAAGAGTCAGTAGATAATTATACATAAGTCCAAAGTCAAAGTATTTATTTCCAATTGAAACCTTTTGCAACCAGTTTTTAAAGCGTCATGTTTATTGTATGCATGCAATGATGATTCATTCCATGTTTGAATTTGAATATGAACCTTTTTGGCATTTTTTTGTAGGTAACTGGTTTTACTCTTAACCAAAAAGGCAGTTTAATGCATTTTGTTACTGATGATGATTGACTAAAAAATATAAATGAAAATTGTGCTTTAAGTACTAATTGGGACTTAATAATCTATGTCTGTTACTAGATAAACTAGATATGAAACATAGATTGTCGCCTTTTAGGCCCCCTGACCATTTTGAATTCCACCTTACAACCCCATTCTTGTATTTATTCTAAACAAAAAAAAAATAAGTTTTGTAACTATTAACCAACTTTTCTATTTAGGTATAAAGAGTTAAAATTTAAACTAGCAAAGACAACCCAACAATTTTTTTAATTTATGTAAATATGTGCAATTACTTGTCCCCTTGAAGAACTCATTATTATGGCTAGCTGCTAAATTACTATTTATTGAATGCTACATCTTATTATATAAAGCAAAGAGTTCGGTTGTTTGTTTATGTTAATGCACTAATCTCCATAGGATAGTCTATTTATCGGGGAAGGCGGCTATAGAACATCACGCAACAATCAATAGGAGTCGAGTAGAGCGGGTGAAACCACGAAGAAGTGGCTAGTTAAATATAATTATGCAAGTGGCAGTGGCAACTGTAATTTAAAAATTGAAATAGCTGTCTAGTTAATTGAAGCAAACTTTTAAACGCAGAATTACCGATAGTTGAAAACCTACACAATACAACGCTCAACTCACCCAGTTAAACTCTCCTCAATCCGAGGATTGTTTGCAATTCTCGACAAAAGAACTTTATTTTTAAAACCATATTTATTCTTCCAGGTAAAATACTCATCTTCTACACAATCTTCTATGCTGTACTGGCAGCCTTATTTGCAGTCTGCATGGTCACGTTTATGCAGCACTTCATTAACCCTCGAGTACCTCGTCTGCAGCAGGAGTACAGCGTAATTGGCACCAGCCCAGGATTAGGGTTCCGGCCGCTGCCGGAAGATGTCAGGAGCACCCTGATCTGGTACAAGGGTACCGGCTACGAAAGCTATAAGTACTGGGAAGATCAGCTCATTGATTTCTTGTCTGGTGAGTTTTAAATGCTAAGTAGATAATGTAATAGCGGGTAGTTCACGCTATAAATGCTGTCGGTATGGGAACGTTCAATCTTGGCCTGGCGAGTTTCTCTTTCGTAAGTGTAACGTACCGCTGATCCAGAATTTCTAATTGGAAATGCCTAAAAAGAACTTGCTGGTTTAAAAAATAGAACCTCGTGGTCACACTCAGTTCAAAGAAATATCACTACAAAATCAGGTACGGCATGACAACATTAGGTTTAGATTGCAGTAAAATCAGGTCGAACGTGGTCTAGCCTTTTCGAAGTACTCAAACTCAATAATCTTCCTTAATAAGCACTTTACCTACTAAGGAAAACCGTTTAAAATTCCGTTCTGTAGTTTTTGTTCTTCAGTATGTCAGTCATTTGGCAGCTATGGCCTTGTTTTTATTATAAAATTGTATTTTATCTACAGTATACAAAAAGAAGGGTCAGACGGCAGGCGCTGGACAGAACATATACAACTGCGACTTCACGAACCTGCCGCCTCCCGGCAAGGTCTGCGACGTGGACATCAGGCGGCTGGACCCCTGCATCGATGAGAACCACTTCTCCTTCCACAAGTCTTCGCCTTGCATCTTTCTGAAGTTGAATAGGTCAGTGGGATCTTGAATTCATTAACGAAGCTACATTCTCGATAGTAATTGCGATGGCTACGTTTGTTTTAACGTTGCTAAATTGTTAAACCAATCTTGCAATGGTAGATGTCCCACCCACACGCACGAAGCGCTTAGAATCAAGCTTCTTTGTGCGTACTGCTAAGGAGTGGAATTATTTGCCAGACCTGGGTGTCTTCAAAGCCCGAGTGAATAGGTTGCTTATGGGACGACGTGCTCCATCGTAGACCGCATCATCGCTTACCACCAGGCGATATAGTGGTCAAGTGGCCAGGATATAAAAAAAAAAATTGGTGATTTTTGGTACATAACTACATACGTGGATAAGAACTTTGGTGACAGTTAAAGCCTAAGCAAAGAGAAAGTAAAAGGAGATACAACTACAAAGTTGGAGTATGAAGGGAGAACCCGTCTGAAAAAAAAACATGCTCTTAATTTTAAGACAGGCAGAGCTGAGTTACAATCATATCTTCATCTATAGTATCCTAGGATTGAATATCATTATCTAATCAATAAGTCGATTAGGAGAACATAAACTCAAAAAATGTTTACAAATGCAATGTTAAATATTGGCAAGGCAAATAGGTATTCTTGCACATTTTGGAACATTTCAATGGCCTTTTTGAATGTTGCCGAAATTAAATTCAACAAAAGTTTGTTTGTGACATTGTGATCGTAAGGACGTTACGGAGTACTTGACAAAACGTACTCACATTAAGCCTGTTATGTAAGAAGGGATCGGCAGAGGTGTACAGTTACATGTATGTATGTAATAAATCTCACATAATTGCTAAAGCTTGTTGCTTTAACAATACGGCCATGTTATCAATGGTTAGTTACCATAACATTATACGCATGTTTCACAAATGCCACAGTGTAGACAAATTGTTACAGTTCATGTTAATTTCAGTTTTCCCTTTACAGTACCTACTTTTTCATTATATCAGGTACCTACGTACATACATGAGAGATTGAGAGACATTTTGTTAAAAACTAGCTTCTCCCCGCGACTTCGCACGCTCAATCTCGTTTTCTTCCGTTGCCACAGGATTTTCAGGACTGTTTTCTGTCATAAGAACGTTCTCCTGACAATAATAAACACAACCAAAAAGTCAAATCGGTCTAGCTATTCTCAAGTTATGGCGTGACAACGGGAAACGGATTTCATTTTTATATAATTATATAGAATATAGATAGATTAATCATCTCATAATTCAAATAGCTCGATAATACCTTGGTGGACGGTACAAACTTACGTGCTATGAATATAGGAGTACAGTGACATGCATTCTGTGGGCAAACAGCTTAATACGCATCTTAAAATGTTCCAGAATCTACGGCTGGCGACCTGAGTTCTACGAAGGTGTGAACGACTTACCGTCAGATATGCCCCTTGACCTGCAGATGCACATCAAAAACCTAACCACCTACAATCCTAACTACGTAAGTGTAGCCATTAGTACCTTATTTTTGACGTGTGGAAATCCTCATGGATGTCTAGACAATGAGCGTCAGACAGCAGGTTAAGTCGGACTCTTACCGACTAAAACCACACACTCAATCCCAGAAAACAATGAGAGAGTCACTGGGTACTCGACTGAATTAATTATTTATTTATTTCATAATTTATGCTCTGTAAAGCCTCGTAGCCACTAACTAGGCAATAATGGGGGCTAACGTTTTTTTACTTTTTTACTCGTTTGATGGCGCATAATGGCATGGCAAATAAAGATATGAATATGAATATAAATGCGGGAAGGGATTTTTTTGTCCAATCACATCAGCTGTCAAAACAAACAAAATTGTTTCACGTTTATCTTGACATCCACTAATATTTAAATATTTTCATCAATGACATTATCTATATATTTTTACAAACATTTGTGACTACTGTAATCATTAATATTATTGACGTTATTAATTTCTAAAACTCTCAATTTTATAATATTGTCACAAAACATAGATGGACAATATTATACCATGAAATGTAACATCCCATTGTACCTATGTTTACAAATAAATATTTTCATTTCCATTTTGTCAAATATTGAACGTCCAATAGTATGACAGTAGCTAATTCCCTATTGGTCGAATTATGAGGGTTACACTAGCGCCATCTAGTAAGCAAAAATACGGTAGGCCCCGTTGATGTGTAACAGGTAACGGGCAGCATGTTCAGCAACGTTATACAGTTTGCGCTCGGCATGCTGTTTCTTTCGGTGTCACTGTAGAAACGTGACCGCCAAAGTTAAAATCATTTATTTCAATTAGACCCGAAAGGCACTTTTGAACGGCAACAAAAAATTAAAAGGGAAGCTATTTGCTCATTCCAAGGTGTAACTCCACCAATGACCAAATACCGACAGCACTAGTTGCTCTGGCGACATTATGTCGATAGACAAAAGTTTTCCGCCATCTTTAAAAAGTAACATTTTGTTTATTATGGTTATTCCGAAACAAAATAAAATTATTGATCATATATCCTATTCTGCTGGTTGGCAACTAAACTAGCGACTTTGTATCTACGATACATACGTAAATAGCAAAAAGACACCGTCACAAAGTACAATAACACACACAAAAAAAATTAAAACAGTGAAGCCGGCGCAAAAAGGCCAGAGCTCAGCTTAAATGCCGTGACCGGAGTGCGCTCGAGTCGTGCCCGTGACTATTATAATAAAAATAGAAATAAAACAAAAAAAATTATACACATACAAATAAAAGTCTTTCATAATAATTTAATTCTTTACAGGGTAATATGGTGTGGGTGTCATGCCAGGGCGAGACTCCAGCAGACAAGGAGAACATAGGTCCCATCAGCTACCTGCCCTTCCCTGGGTTCCCAGGGTACTTCTACCCGTATGAGAACGCTGAGGGGTACCTCAGTCCTCTTGTCGCTATACATTTGCAGAGACCTCGAAGTAAGTCAAAATTATTATAATAAGACCAAAGAATGTAGTAAGGAGGGATAAAAGCAGATTTATGAAAGAAGTATACAGAGCGGATATGAGTGGGACAGTCACTAGACTCTATATATCGACCAGATTGGTGATATATTAAAGCAGGGCCAAATTATAAGTATCCTTAACTGACGAGCATGCATGAAAAGACAGATGACTGTTGAGGAAGCGAAAGAGGTATGTAAGAAATGAAGCAATTGGCGTTCCATGTCGACTCCCATGTAAGACAGACGTGAATATAATATGTATTTGTGTAGCAGTAACTTTGAACTGTGTACAATGAAAGTTATCTATTTATCTATCTATCTAATGCACGTTTTCACCAACACTCCTAAACCACCTTTTAAACAAGAGTTATTTAACATGATGTAGCACCTAAACCCCTTAAGGTACTTGTAAATAACACTTCCACGTTGTACATGAAAATGTCGTTAAATGTCGAGTAGTGGTTGTGGGCTGTCGAAACAACACAGCACAGAATCAGCGATGAAGTGCGTTGACTCCGATTCTGAACAGAATAATTTCGATTAATCAATGTTCTATTTTCAGCGGGTATTCTGATCAACATAGAGTGTCGTGCCTGGGCGAGGAACATCAAGTACGACCGGAGAGAACGTCTAGGCGTCGTGCACTTTGAGCTCATGATCCAATAGTTACTAAAAATCCGTCCAAACGTATCTACTCGGCTCCAAGTCTGTTGTGCAGTAACCACCGTAATGTTTTTAGTATATTAAAAAAACAAATAAAAGGAAAGACATAAATTTATTGCGTTATAGGCAAAAAGGGAATGTAATTATTGCTTTAAGAGTAAAACAAGATATGAGAATTAACTGTGAAGTTAATTGGTGTTACTTTGATGAATCAATTTATACTTCCAAGACAAGTTCCGTGAAAGAGAGAAAGTAGTTTTAATTAAGCTGAAGTTTATAAGAAATATTAGGCAGCTATTTTAAATTCGACATTAAGTTTTTAAAAATAATAATTAATGTTTCTGGTGGTGATTGTACACAGTCTTTCCAGTAGACCGAGTAGACCAAAGCAATTAGTTCATTTTATGTATGTAGGATAAAGTTTTTATGCAATAAGTGTGTGAGATTTCGATTTTGTAGCATGGTCTTCTCAGTAGACCAATGATATTGACATTTTTATTGATATTTATACATTTTCAAACACAAGTATGCCAGAATTTTTATGCAATGAATATCTAAAATTATTAATAGCTATGTATTTTATAAGAAAAGACTTTAACTAGAATCTCAAAGTAGTTTGAACAGTTGCTGTTCTTAGGTACTAACTGCTTTAAAAAGACCAAGTTTTATGGAGCAAGCGACTAGAAACATGGAGATGAATATTGATTATTTATAATAGGTATGCAAGAACTACAATATGAATACTTTACAGGTAACTGTATCATCTTTTTAAAACTTAATATCATCCGTCCAGTGACTTTTTGATATATCTTCTATATGTATATTGTGTGTTGTACAGAATAATATTGTGTGTGTTTATTAATATTATGATTAAGACTACTAAATGTATAGAAGACTTAACACGCATTTAGTTATTTAGATTGGGTATGTAACTGTTAGCGAATCTCTCTTATAACTGGCTTTAGCCTCCAACTGCGTAAGCGTATCAATATTAAAAAAAAAACCTATGGACTATTTACTCCGTCGATCATGATTGTTCTATATTTTATCAAACCAATTATTGTTGGATGCGAAACTAATTAAGTTTATGTAATTTTTGTTTGAGATAATTGTTTACAGTGCAGCTTAAACAATAGGGTAGATGACATGGTATGGAAATGAGAAATCTAGTTAGTTACGTATATTAGACACGTATTTCATTATTTTGTCATATAAGAAAACATTACTAAGATAAAACGACGTGAAACAACGTTGTGTTGTGTTTCGTCGTATGAGTGAGGTTACCGTAAGGCCCCCCCTCTCTCCCTTTCCGCAATCCCTGAATCCCCAACAATCCTCAAATTCCTAATCCCAAAAGGCCGGTAACGCACTTGTAATGCCTCTGGTGTTCCAGGACGCCGATTGCTTACCAATCAGGTGATCCGTATGCTCGTTTACTAGCTTATCCCATAAAAAAAACGTATTTAGGATTGGGAGGTCGCTACGTCACTGCTCCCTATGTAGTGTATGTGTATCGTGACGTCATACGATATTTCAAATCAATGTATCGTCGAATGTATTTCATTCTGTAAGAAGACAAATACGTGTCTAATATATTAAATTAAACTGTCAAACACCAAGCGGTCACCGGTGACCGCGACCTATTGTTCTTTAATTGTGTCTATAAAACCGGTACTCGACGAGTTAATCTGCCAGATGGACTTGAAAATAAAGGAAACTACCATATGATGTCAATATTTTTTTTTGGCAACTGTCGAATTCTATTTACAATTTCTTTTTTATATTTTTATACACATATTTAACTAGTTTATATAGCCTGAATATTTATGAAAGACTGATGCTTTTTCAACAGTTTTTTAAACAAAATAATGACAATTGTACCTTCTTATTATATATAGCTTAAGATTTTAACATTGTACTTAGTTTGTGTCCAGTAACTAACTTTATTTTGTACGAATTAACTTTTTAAAAATCATTTTTACAGACTATATATAATTTTGTAAGAAATGGTGCCTTGCCAATCTGAATTGGAATTTGTAACAAAGCAATAAGGTTTATTTTTCAATACTTTTTCTTATTGTACAAGATTTTTGTATATATTTGTAGTAAATGTTGCCTTGCCAACCTGAATTTGTATCTGTTACAAAGCAATAAGATTTATTTATCAATTTTGTTATTAGATAACTTATTATTATTCTTTTTTTGTGTTACAGGTTTTTGATTTGGTAACGACCAGTCTCTATACACATGTATTAGTAGATTTGGCTTCAAAAGAAGGCCCCATGTACCATATTTTTTTATTTGTGTACTTGAAAGTTTCAAAAACTGAAGATAGAATTTTGAGACATTTTCCATACAGCTTATATCAAAATTAGTAGCTCAATCTACTGACATCAATATGTTTATGACACTGAAATTCATAATATACTATGATTATTTACAATATCTACATTCCATTGATAAAAATATTATGTAAACTATACAATTATGTACGTTATGTTATACAAAAGACTCATATATTTAACTAATTTCAAATAAAAGACAAATACTTAAACGAATCTCGTCAATATCTCCGTCCAGTAAAGATATTATTATTATATCGATAAAATGAAATGATATATTCCATACAATTGTAAACTGTATGTTTAAGGCAATAAAACGTATATTAGAGTGTATGTATTTCCATATCGAAGTGCCTGAATTGTAATTTTAAGGAATAAAATCAAATTTTAGAAAGCAATGGTTTTGTGTTTATTAATTTGGTTGCATTACAATCAGAAAATTCTCCAATATTAAACGTGTAAAGCTAAGACACGTCTGCGCCAGACAGTCCACAAACCGATGGCGGGAGATCGTGACGAAAGCAGTATCCGACTCCAAATACGGCCATCTCAACGCGATCACGACCGCTCTGCCAAGAACGAAACGACAGAGAAGAAAGACACGTCGCTAACGATTTAAATGTATGCCAGCTAAGGAGGACGCGAGGCGCGTGAGGCAGCGAAGTGCAGCCTTCTTAAAACCCAGCCATCGCGAAGGACACTCTGGGCGTTCGCGATACTATCTCCGGCCACCGTAAGTGCGGGCGGTCGGCGAGCATGGGTGGCTTGCCGCCCGACTAGAACCAGACTCAAACGTACGGCGCGTCGCGTTCCTCGTGGGCTTCAAAGAGCCATCAGACCACCACGGATAGGGTCCCATAGGGCTGATGCCGAATCGGAGCCGCGAAGAACCTAACGGGTTACCGGGGTGTGGCCGATGCGGGTGCGCGCGAGGTAAAGAAATGAGAAACTACAGTTATTGATTTAAACTGGGAGCGATCAGCGGGCATGCATCTCTGCGCGTGCAATCACGCGTGGGCGTCTTGGTCGTCGGGTACAAACGTGTGAACTGAACAAAAAAAAAGTATGGCGGACGCAGGATGCGGAACGCCACCGCTCCGCGCGCCGCCGTGCGGGCATGCGCCGAAATAAAATACGCGAACGCGATTGGTCCGTTTGAACATGCCGCGCTGAGGCTCCACAGACTATTTAATCAATCCAAACACAAATCAATACACTGTCTGTACTAATTTATATAAACATTATGTTACCTATAACAAAAAACATTATGTTTCACTAACATGACATTTAACTTAAAATAATAATATTATTCGCCGGGCGGGCCGTCTAATCATCTTCAACATCCTGCCCCTTAGTGTTGTCTGAGCAACACTCATCACATAGTAAGAGAGCAACACGAGAGGCCGGACGCTTTACGACTCCGGTCTTTGTTTTGATAGCTACGACTCTTACCCGTCCGTCGGATCCTGGGTAGACTGCTTGTATTACGCCTTTCGGCCAGATATTTCGGGGCGAAGCGGGATCTGTTATTAAACTAGGTCACCTACCTGTAACTGAGCTCCTTCGCGGTTCCACCTCTTGCGAGGCGCCAGGGTAGGAAGAACTTCTTTAATCCACCTAGACCAAAATAAATCCGCAAGGCGCTGGGCTATACGCCATTGCTTCCGCAAGTGCAAATCTTTGTCGTCAAAAACGCCGATTTGTGGTAAGTTAGATGACGATCCTAGTAAAAAGTGATTAGGTGTTAGTGCTTCTGGGTCTCTTGGATCCACAGAAACATGAGTTAAGGGACGTCCATTGATCATATTTTCCACTTCACATAGAAACGTAGTCAGGGTTTCTTCTCTAGGGGTGCGCTCTTTGAGAACTACTTTTAGTGCGGTTTTTACACTCCTAATGAGCCTCTCCCATGCACCTCCCATATGAGGACTGGCCGGTGGAATAAACTTCCAATCAACTCCTTTATTGATCGTGTCCGATATTAGCTGTTGTTGGTTGTCAACCAGCTCTTTATAGGCCTTTTTTAGCTCAGTGTCTGCCCCTCGTAGGTTGGTCCCGTTGTCAGAAAACATCGTACGTGGCCAACCTCTGCGAGCGGCCATCCTACGTAAAGCCATTATCATGGAGTCAGTCGTAAGAGTCGGAACTACCTCGATATGCACAGCGCGTACTGTGAGACAAGTAAACAGCACACCGTACCTACGCACTCTTTGTCTTCCAACGACTACTTCTATCGGCCCGAATAGGTCAACTCCACACATGGTAAACGGTCTATGATGATGCATGAGTCGACATTCGGGTAAGTCACCGAGGCGCGGCGGCTGAGGTAAGGCTTTTTTAAAGCGGCAAATTAGGCATTTTCTAGCTACAGAACGAACCGTAGGTCTTAGTCTAATGAGCCAATATTTTTGTCGCAACTCATTGACTACCATCTCGTTACTAGAGTGAGCTGCGTTTACATGGTAATGGGTCACGATGAGCCGAGCGATATGGTCTTTTCCATCTAAAATTACAGGACATTTGGTATACTGATCCACATCCTTGGAGTTCATAATACGGCTACCTACGCGCAACAAATTGTTTTCATCTAGTATTGGGGTAAGTGAACGTAAACGACTATCTGTCTTAACTTGTTTATTTAATCTAAGCGAATTTATGTCA